AGCAACTATTCCCACTTAACTATACACAATGAGTAGACAAATAAGTTATTCTTACGAAATAACATGATCTAAGCATATAAACCTTTACTTCCGGGTTTGACTGGATACGCTGTAAAATCTCGTTGATATTTTTAATTGCTAAACTCAATTAATTAGGATGTGAGTTTAACAACCTGGGTACAACTGTGATCGCATTTTTGCGATATCGTCTACTGTAAGCTGTTTATGGAACATCCATAAAACCAGATGCCGTAGGCTACGAATTAGCGTATCACTTAATAGAAACGGTCTTAAATACATTCGTTCATGTGACGTCAACTATCGTCTTGAAGGGTCTACAGAAATTTATCCTCCTGTACAAGGATCGTTGTGCACAGTTTTAATAGAGGTGACTTTTGACTCACTATTTACTGCACGAACCTAAAATTCAGATTGACAGTATCAATATTTCTACTTAGAGGATAAATTCATTCGTTATAAGGCATAAGTAGATGACCGACGTCGTCTTCTTTGTCTAGGCTGTGGTGATGAAGTAGAAGCTGTATGCTCCTGAAGAACTGCGTTTATAAACGACTGATTGGTCGGTCGACGCGGATGGATTGATCGAAGATGAATGGAATAAGTTTAAGGCTACATCGGAATCCGTAACGTCGCCGTTTATCCCCTGGTCAGCACTTAAGCTATCACATTGGCCAAAATGGATTAATAAGGAAACGCTGAAGCTGTTAAAGCGTAAGAAACACTTCTGGAACTTATTCTCCATGACAGGTCATGAACCATTTCAGCATGAGTACCAAAAATTCTCGAATATTCGTAAGAAAACCATGCCTAAATCCCATACAACTTACGAACGATAGTTGGCATATGATAGGCGTACTTGTCCGAAACGATTGTTTTCGTATGTTAAACGGCGAATGAAACGTAAAGATGGTATCCCCTCGTTACTGTTACACGAAAATTCAGATTGACTGGCTGAGTCAGATGGGGCAAAACCTGAGACTTTACCGAACTATTTTAGCCAAGTCTACTCTACGTTTGTTGTAACAAATACTTGTCCCACTCACACCTAGATACCAACCATTGAATCTGTACAGATGACTGAGGGAACTGTCCTTCCGTTGATAACTAACCTCAAACTTGGTAAGACACCGAGCCCTGACGGGTTACATTCACGGTTGCTGTCATCTCTTGCGGACATTAATTCAAAACCGCCCGCGACACTCTTCAACATGTCCATTTTACTTGCTCAACTCCCTAGAGATTGGAAGGACGCTATAGTCAGTCCTACATTTAAGGACGGTCAGAGACAGAAAGTATCTAACTCCCGGCCTGTTAGTCTAACTAGCATAGTCGTTAAGTTACTTGAAAAGATAATTGGGGTTAGGTTGCTAAGCCACATAGATTCACACAATCTGTTAGCTCCTGAGCAACACGGATTTCGTAACAAGCGTTCATGCTTGACTAAATTGCTCATTGAGAGAGAGGATTGGACAGCAGCCACAGATAAAGGCCTGTCTGTCGATGTGATATTCATAGATTTTAGCAAAGCATTTGACAAGGTTTCACACGTAGATCTTATGCAGAAGTTCACGACCTTCAGAATAGCAGTTACTGTACATGAGTGGATAGGAAATTTCTTATATGACCGCAGACAGAGAGTGAGGGTCAACGGAACGCTATCCGATTGGAAGCCTGTCAAAAGTGGTGTACCTCAAGGCACCATATTAGGCCCTCTTCTCTTCCTTCTCTACGATAATGAGTTACCGCTGTTACTTAGGTCGTCGACATTATTGTTTACGGATGATGTAAAAATCTGGAGAACAATAAAAAGTGCGGCTGATCATCTGGATCTTCAAGCTGACTTAGACGATTTAGTTAGATGGGCTCGAGAGTGGGGCTTAGAAATCAATTCTAGGAAGAGTGTGCCAATGCACATCGGTCACATTAATAGTCACCGTTATACTATTGAGGGTAAACCTCTTCCATGTGCTCAAGAGCATAAAGACTTAGGAGTAGTATAAAGTCATTATTTAAAAACAACTACGCATTGCAAAGCAGCCGCTGTCGAAGGTTTTCGTGAGTTATGGTCACTTCACCGAGCGTTCCAAACTTTTGACGAGGAAACGTTTCGAATTTTATTTCCCATATATGTAAGGCCACATTTAGAGTACTGTATCCAAGCAGCTAGCCCATGTCTGGTAATGAATACTAACTCCCTTGAGCGTTTCCAGCGTGTGGGAACGAAATTAGTGAAGGGTCCTTCTAGACTCCCTTACGATGAGCGTTTAAAACGCCTAGAACTTTCCCCCTTTGTCGTATCGTAGAACACGAGGTGACCATATACTGGCATTTCATATCTTTAATTATGAGTTGGGTGTTAATATGTCTCATCGTTTTGCTCCCTCTAGCACTAATAATCTCCGAGGTCATAGTAAGGTCCACAAACCGCGATCTTATAACCTAAAGTGAGGTCCCGTTTTTGCTCATCGTGTAGTCAATGATTGGAACGCCGTGCCCGAACAAGTGGTATCAGCCCCATTAGTGAATACTTTCCAGAAGAAGCTGGACCTTCACTGGAAGGCAATGTGCCAGGATTAATACAGGTTCACCAACATACTATCCTTTATACTGAAGATAATATGAACATATACGTCCATATGTACAAACATTTTTAACAAAAAATATTTTAGACTTGGGTCATCATTGTTCTTTCTACATACTGACGTATTGTACTTAGTGTGCGTACATCGCAAAATAAGTATTAACCACAGGATTCACATTACCTTGCGTACTTCTTTCAAACAGGTCTCAAAATTGTACCAACTTGTAAGTTGTCGCGATAACAAAATATTGTAGTGTGGCGTCGAGTCGAGGTTGACTATGATCACCACTAAAAAGGAACGCGTGCCAGCATATCCATAAAATCCCCGGAAGCCAAATATCAGAAGGCAGTTAATGGACCAACTCGAGGTATATTTGCTGGCTATCTCGTGGTATCGAAAGAATACCGAGATCGTGCCAGGATACAAGCTTGATTACCGAGCATAACCGGATTCGCGCGAGGTCACAATCGAAGTGTAAGAATAATAATGGAAGCACAATATAGCTGTCATCAAGCACTGGTACAATTGGTTATAATAATAATTGCTTTCATTAAACCATTCGTGTTCTCGTGATGAAAGTAAGTCACTACAATATCATTGAAGATTGGGCCGCCATCGTGCATCATCACGATGGCATCGTTACTTGAAAGATGGACGTTATCTGACAGCGTGACTGAGTTCTAGAAATGTCTTGATTTGACCGCTTCTGCAAAACTTTACGAGTAGCAGAGAATGATGCCGAAAAAGCTGAAGCTTTATCGGAATACTTTAGTAAAGTGTTTTCTATCGGTAAGGAGGAACGACCAATGGTTCGTCGCTACCGTGACGGCTAGCTGATGGATCCTGTAGTCATTGAGAAAGGTATTATTCTAAGGCTACTTTAGCATTTCAAACCTGATAAGTTCAGTGGTCCTGAGGATATTCATCCTAGGATTATGAAAGCCCTATCAGATGTAATTGCTGAACCATTAACGATACCGTTTGACATGTCTCTAAGGCAGTCCAGACTGTCCAGAGACTGGGAAGACTCTATAATAAGTTTGGTGTATAAGGCTGAGTGTAGGGATTTAGTAACTATAGACCCGTTAGCTTAACTAGTGCAGTTGTAAAACTGATGGAGAAAATCATTCGGATAGTTGTTATAAACTATGTTGAAGGGAAAAACCTTTTCTCCAGGGAACAACATGGTTTTCGGAAAGGCCTATCTTGCTTTACAAATCTTCTCATTTCACGAGAAGATTGGGCTGCGGCAATAGATCGGAATGCTCCTGTGGATGTGATTTTCATAGATCTAAGTAAAGCCTTTGATAAGGTTTCCCACTCTGGTCTTAAATTTAAACTGAAACGTTTTGGAATCCATTATACAGTCGTCGATTGGATAAGTAACTTTCTCCATGACAGGAGACAAAGGGTAAGGGTTAGTGGGGCTCTCTCCTCGTGAGTACCTGTAAAAAGTGGGGTCCCCCAAGGCACAATCCTGGGTTCTCTTCTCTTTTTACTTTATGTAACTGAATTGCCAACTGTAGCAAAATCATCCGTTTTACTCTTCACTGATTTGGAGACCCATACATAGTATGTCGGATAGGATAGTATTACAGGACGATCTTTGCTCATTGGTGGCATGGTTAGATAGGTGGTCACTAGAAGTAAATCCTAATAAGAGTGTAGTGATGCAGTTAAATAACTCTGATAAATCGTATGACTATACACTACGTGGATTCGTACTACCCAAAGTAAGAAACTATAAAGATTTAGGAGCAATGATCTCAAAACGACTAGTCACTGTAAGGCTGCTGCTGCGAAAGGCTATAGGGTATTACGGTCAATTCGTAGGTCTTTCCAGTATTTAGATGATGAAATGTTTAGATTACTATACCCGATTTATGTGCGACCACATTTAGAATACGGGATTCAAGCAGCATGTCCTTGTTTCAAATATGAAGCAGATATGCTAGAAAAAGTCCATCGACGAGCTACTAAGATGGTACAAGGTCTATCTGGCCTATCTTATGAAGACAGACTGAGACACCTTAACTTATTTCCGTTATCTTACCGTAGAATAAGAGGTGATCTAATATTGGCCTATCGTATACTGAATGACCTTGGTATTGACATGTCTTATCTTTTGCTTCCGTCTAGAACCGATCATTTGAGAGGACATTCAAAGAAAGTTCAAAAACCGAGATCAAACCGTTTACGTCTGGAGTTCCGTTTCTCGCACCGAGTAGTGAATTACTGGAATTCTCTACCGGAACACGTAATATCAGCACCATCTGTTAATATATTCAAAACGAGATTGGACCTCCAGAGTATTACAAACTGCAAGGATTAATATAGGTCGACAGACCTCCTATTCTTATTACTAAGTCGGGGCGACGCACCAATCATTTTACGATGGTTTGACCTTCAAGGGCACAGCAACCTCGACAGAAGACGGTACCCCTAAAGCGTTGCCTTTCAACTCTCTTTGTGGCATCGCGCCACTTTGACAAGTGTAGGTAGGTGGCTATCTGTCATCGCCTCGACAAAAACAACACAATATTCAGCTTCGGGTTTATCAAGGCACCTAAAATATACCTTACCATTCAAGGCGGTTCAAAACTGAGTACTGTTTTAGAATATATTCTAAAACAGTAGCTATAGCTACCAAATGTAAAACAACAATTCTCGTATGGTGTTTGTGCGAACCAAGCCCATTCTTTTCACTATACAAGTGTCTTTCATATCCCATGTGTTCACAGAAATCCGTAAATAACCCCGATTTCAAAAACGATTGTTGTTTACACACTCAGGTTGGCTGCACTTATAAAGTAGCTACATCAACTAGTTTGCGTTCGTAAACATAACCATCTATCCTGTTAGTTTTCTTGGGGGTGATCAAATATTTTCAGCACTCAGTACTTAAGTTTGTGTTTTCTCTAATGTCCACATACACCGATTGGAAGAATGTTCCTTTTCAGTTACCGATATTACTCCACCGTGGCAAATCCTTTTACGAAGCTAGTTGAGAACATTCTATCCAATTGAGTCTGAAAATCTATGTTGACATTAAGTTTAGGTGCGTGTCTCTCAGCACTTGATGAGGAACCAGGGGAGTACTACATAGTTGGTTTTAAAGGTTCATGCTACTATTATCATTATGGTGCTCAAGGTGTAAATGACCAAGTAAGTTTTAGAAGCAAATTATTTTAAGGGCTGGGGCTGTGGTTACAGAACACTGCAAACCATTTTATCTTGGTACAAGCTCACGAAATCCTGTCCCTTCGATGTACCTACTTTACTTGAAGTTCAAAATATATTGCATGAAATCGGGGACAAGCCTAGAGCTTTTGTAGGCTCTCATGATTGGATTGGAACATACGAATGTGGATTAGTAATACAATACGTGACAAAGGTATGTCCTGATTCTTTAAAGAGCTGTTAGCATGATTTTAAGATAATACGTGTGGAAAATGGCCTTTTTACGGAGGAAATAATCAAATTGCTTGTTGATCATTTTCAAGCACACGGATCACCAGTCATGCTCGGTATGTAGAAACCCCGTTTAACTTTTCAGGAGGATACGACGACAGTTCATCAAAAGGAATCATTGCAGTAAAAACGTTTCCTGATCAGCCAACAATGTTGCTAATTTGTGTAAGTTGGTTAAGTGATGTCTAAAACACTGATCAGATCTCGTTTTTGTTACGAACATGTGTGTAGATTAAGATTGATACTCGACAATTAAACCAATACCTAAAATCTTTGACTCAACAGTCTAACACTTTGTAAACTAAATGGTCTAAACCACTCATTAATTAATAAAATTATTCATTATCAACTATATTCATCTTACACTTAAACATAAATATAAGAGGAAGTGAATGGTGCAAAACACTACCAGACTATACACAACAGTGTATATACTACTTAAGTGAATCCAAGGCGCAGCATCAGTGCAGGCTAAAATTCCATTTGCTTGTAAATATGGCGAAATGATGCTAGTACTACCAATGAATTTGTATACACAAACTCAAACAGCGATGAAAGCTTTTGTAAACCTGAATCCGAAGTTCCAAGCGTGGTTCTTCAAGTTTTGTTTGTGTGTTTCCTAAGTTATCAGCATGGGAGTTTGAAATCCACATATATAAACCTAATGGGAAACTAAGAGTGAAAACATATCAATGGTCAAAACGACTACAACCAACCAATACGCTGCAACTTGGTATCACGTAGTCAAGCGTAATATACTATTACATACATGAAATAGTTGAATCTAAATGACGATTTAATTTCGCTTTAGTATTTATATCCTGTGTATTTATCAAGTGTGATGTCTATAAAGTAAATATGACCTAAAGACCAATTCTTTTACTGTTTTTAAGGATCCCCACTGTTTTGAAATACATGGCAGCCCAACTATCGCTAAATTGTGCAAAGGAATGTGGTTACGATGGTGCAAAGTTACTGAATTGTCAGAAAGACACTTTTATAATTTGTGTTTGCCTTTATGAACAAATACATTTATTTTACAAGATGGAGCTTATGGTATGTCCTTGCAGAATTTGTCATACGTTTCTTTGAGAATAAGATAAGAGTCCAAATACCGTTCTTCGTTATCGCGACAGGCAGCTTTCCATCTGCAAATTAGAAAAACCAGCGAGTATTCAATATGACCAAGATATTATTACACAAAAGTATCTCGTATAAACTCATGGTATCAGTTTACACTGTCCCGAAAGCTTCACAGTGTGGTTCGATGGGTCAAACGTTGGGAAAATACGACTACGTCATAGTGTGTGTTCTACACGACAACAGATACTTCGAGAAATCCAAACTTATGGGACGTCTCAAATGAAAAAAAATTAAAGAAGGCAAAATATACCGCTTACATTCAATTTCCCTATTTTGGGGAAACCATTATACAAAACTTTGGAGAAATAGCACGAAACCCCCATAATTTCCACAGGTCAGGGGAAAATCCCCAAAATGCTTGGGGGGACTTAGGGTTTTTCCCAATATTCCATTAAAATCTTATAACACTAGGGAAAAACCCAAAATAAGGAGATTGAACATAAAGGGTTGTCGCGGAACAAGGACATTAGCTAACAGTTAGCATGGTGGGGTTAATAATGTACTACAATCAGCATTGCAAACTGTACTTCAAATAACTTCGCTAACCCGATATGATGATCAGTAGCGGACAGAAATTATGATCCGCAGTTTATACAAAGACTGAATTCGATATTTTAATAGTGATACTTACATTTTGTCACGTAACTTTCTCTGAAATGACTGTGGGACAGGAGTTCGGTAATTCATTTACTCAGTAACTAGGTTAGTTTGACCTTATCGCCTCCAACAGTATTTCCATTTCATTTTTATGTGATAATGATGACCACTGTTCAAAATGTTTGTGTGGTTTGCATTTAAGATGAGCCGTAGATTTTAAGGTGAAACCAAACATTCGATCAAGAAGCATTTCAAATGAGACTAATTTGCAACAATTCGCCTAATAGTTATCGATGTAGTCAACCATTTTACTTAGAAAAGCTATTAGTCTGTAAGATACTCCATCACTTCTTGACTAAATGAAAGTATACAAAAAAATTGTCCGGCAGTTTAAAAAAAGGTACTTACTTTCTTCGGATTTCTCTCCAACGGACAATGTGCTGTTCCAATAATCCTTCAGGAGACATTTCCTTAGGTGGGTTCTAAATGTTTTTAGAATGTTGACAAAAGCACCGAAAATTACCTCAACGTTTATAAGGAATGGCTGACCGTCCGATGGGAGAGGAGGCGGTATCCTGATGTCATTATCGGTCAATCCATCACTTGGCTTAGGTAGCGTGTAATGACAGTCAGGCAACTGATCACTGTTCTATATTAGAAATGCCAACAAAGACGAACCATCAAAACCAGTCCATACGGAAAGATATAGATAAAAATTCTAGAAAATGAGCAAGTACCATACACTAAGTAGAAAAGACTTATTTAACAATATACTAGGCATTTGTTAGTACGTCTATAGAGGCATCGATGTGAATGGCTACAATATACAGAAAAGTTCTCATTAATTTCCAGGATTGTTATATGAGATTTTAGTGCATCGAAGTCACTGAAGATCCCACACTGCTTATAGGTTCACAGTAAGATTTTGTCACCAACCAAATATATCCATTATTCAGTGCCATGCGGGCCCCAACCAAATAGTCTGCACCTACCAACATGGCTCAAACCAGAAGTTGGTGACTTTGTGGACTGATGCCACGTTATAGTTTGGCCGCCGCTAACTTTCTTCCAACTTCAACACTAGTCAGCATTGCGTGTCGTGGTAATCGGTGTTCGTGCATACGTAACACGTGGCCGAACAATCTCAGTTGATGAATATTTGCAACCCCACCAACTGATTTACCATCATTCCCTAATACCCTGAGTCTAACCTTACTATTACTTACCCGGTGATCCCAGCAGATGGGAACAATATCCCTGAGGCATCTGTGGTCAAATACTAGTAGCTTACGAGTATCTTCCTAACGTTTCGCATCCGCAAAGTGGAACAGAACGAACTGCCGCGCGGTATACCCGTCTTTTTATTGATAGACGGATATCTCGCCTTCGCCATAGGTGACGTAAGTTGGCAAATGCCAAACGAGCTCTTCGAATCGGTGCAGAGATTTCATCAGACATCAACCAATTTGGGCTGATTAGACTTCCAAGATAAGTGAAGTTGTCAACGCGTTCGACTACTTTACTCCCTATCCATAGTTCAGGTGTTGACCCATGCCGGTTCTGAAGCAACAATTGGCATTTAGAGGGGGAGAAATGCATCCCAAATATCCTGGCATTGTTGCTCAGTGCCACCAAAAGACTGCATTTTACCAGAATCTTCACCAAACAAGACTATATCATTTGCGTATTTCAAGTCGATAAATGGACCGCCTGGTAGGAGACCAGTGCCCGAACATTCAGTCGACGAGAGCGTTATTTCTATCAGTTTGTGTGTGATGAAGTTAAACAAAAATTGAGATAGTGAACAGCCTTGCCAGATACTACTTGAGGTTGCAAAAGCAGATGACAGTTCGCCATAAGCACTTACTGGACTAGTAGTGTTCGAGTAAAGGGCCTTCACAAGGTTTATGTACTTCTGGGGTACGCCTTTCAATGTCAGACACTGCTACAGAGCCAAGAAAGACCACCATTGTCGGACGACAATAAGCATGCCTGTGTTCTGAAATCTGACGAATGGTGGGTATGTGGTCGATGCAGCCACGACCAGGTCTGAAGACAGTCGAATTTTCTCGTGTTTGCAATTCACGAGTCTGTGTTAGGCGCCCGACAGTTATCGAGGCTAGTATATTAGATACTGTATTAGTCAAAGTAATCCCTATACAGTTATCGCAATATGATTTTGACCCTTTCTTATATATTGGGACAACCAGCGATTGCGACCGTTCAGATGGGATTACGTCCAACTCCCAGATTTTAACTAAAATATTAGTCAATCTAATCGCTTAAACTAGACCACCATCCTTAAAGACATCTGGAGCCAATCTATCTGGACCAGCTGACCTTCCTCGTCTCAGATTAACTACAGCTAGGGTCGGGGAACCTACTTCAATGTTCCATTCAGGCTGTCTGGGAATAGTGGGTAGCTGTAGACCAGCCGAAATACTCGTTAAAATGTTCCGCCCACCGTTCTAAGCGTTTGGACTGGGAGCGGATAAGAGTGTCGTCTTCCGAAATAGTTTCACTTACATTTGAATTCTTAATTTCAGTTTCTTTTGTAAGTCTGAAAAGCTGTCTGGTGTTATCTGCAGCCGCTGTCTTTTTCATCTCTCCTGCTTTCGTTGCCCATCACTGCTCAGTCGTTCCTTAGACTTTTAGTTAAATTAGAACTGATTTGTTTTCGTTCTTCACCATATTCAGAGCCCGATGGGATGAGTTTACGAGGATCTATCAGTGCAAGAGACTTAGTAGAAATCCACTTGTTTTACGTAACCCTTTGGTTTGAATCACTAATAGATGTCACTGCTGTTCCCACAGCTGTTCTTACATCTTTTCATGCACCATCTGGGTCAGTCTCGCTTTCACAACTATTTGAGTGTGATCTCAGTTGATCCTGGAATCTACTTTTGGTTTACTCGTCACTCAATTCAGTTTTAATGGGTCTTCTTAGTGTGGCTTTTCTGTGTCCAGTGAGGCCCGAGCAGATGCGTGCCCGTATTAGTGCATGGTCGGAGTCCAAGCAAGTATTTTAGAACGGGTGACAATCTTCTATCGACCTTCTTCAACGATGACTGATGGCAATATGGTCTATTTGAGTCTATCGTTGGTTTGTTTCGAACCCATTATAGAATTTGAACATGTGAATAATGAGTTTAAAAATGCCTTTGGATCCGCCTGTACTTCTCTACCCTACTTCACAGTTATACACCTTACCCAGCTTTCAATTATTCATGCAGCTAAAATCTTTGCGTTAAATGTGGTAACGGTTAGTGTGATGATCAGGAAACAGATTCCCATCTTTTCCTAATCGGTAATTGATAATAATTTCTGAAATACAAAGCTAACCCTGTTCAGTAGTCAAATGAAGAACATGGGCATACTTTAGGACAAGTTATTAAGAACGACCTAATATTGTGTAAAATGACATGTACACTAGTCGGATTTGCAGTGTTTGTATAACTCATCTATTTTGTTGGTTGACTCTATTGAAAAGATTTTACACCGTTTACCAGCAAACCAAAACTAAATAGTAAGGCAAAGTTTCATTACTCGTTACAAAATGAATACAATGCGAAACAAAAAGAGCTAGGGTAGCCATTCATTTGTAACGTACTAGCTTTTAAGACCGTACTAAATAGTGATGATTGTTACTGTCTTGAGGAATGATAGAGATATGATGTTTATTGGTTCACAAAGTAATTCTTACCGACTACGAATTAAGGAGTGCATAAGATATAACAGGACTATGATGGTGATTTGATATGGTCAAAATGACACTGCGTGAGATATTGCCTTTGATCGTGAGAAGGGATCGAGTCCCAACCATCATGCGGCTAATGTGAATTGTAGTCTAGCAGCTTATTGTAGTCACACAGAAGCGGACTGGATAACGAATATATCTTAGGAGAGATTCGAAAACCAGATAAGAAGAAACACAAGAAGTTTGTTTGGATGACCTTGAACGGTTTATGATTAAACTGAGTGCGACGTGAGGACAACAAACGTCAGGAAAACGATATCCTAGATTTAATATGCACTTTATCAGGTTTCACGTTAACAGCAACATCTGGTAGCGGTACTCATTCACAAAGAACAGTGGCAGTCCGGAAACTAAGTACACTATTGATATGAACTGTTGATACACTAACAGCTTATTATGACCTTTTATTTGCTTTATTTGGTTATCTTTCATGGTTCACATGAAAACTGAGAGTAGCTATGACTGTACTAGTAATGATAATGATGAAAAAATACGGGAAAAATAAACAATACTGAGTAGTTCTCAATCGCAAATAAGTCCGAAGTTAGACTG